TAAGCATGACCGGTCTCCTCACAATAGCGGAAAACCCTGTGATTTCCCGATCTCTTGATCCTCCCCAGTCCGAGTCATCTTTGACAACACTGCAGATATGGATCAAACAAACGGAAAGATGTAAGTGAACTCTACTATATGACACATCTCTAAGTAGGGATCGTCCAATACTGCCGAAACATTGTCGACGCAATGTCTTTTAACAAGCCTCTCAAAACTTTCTATCCGCTCATTCCAGCAGCCATCAAACTCATAACAAAACGATTTTCTTGACGTGAGTACACTGCAACCAAACTCATTTACGGTGCGGCACTCCGACCTCCGATCCTTCATCTTCTTCAGGAAATACAGATCAAGAACTTTACGTGAGCTGGCTTACAAATGCCGCGCGTTCAGCCAAATCTGTTTCAACTCATCTGCAGTCAACTGATGTGTTCGTTCAATCTCTTTTAAGACTTACTACACAGATTTTTGTACATCGTGTTTTGCTACAGTGATCCTTGAAAACTGCATATGAAGGACTCTTCAAAGTCCCGAGTAATCAAACTAAGTGAAAAATAGATGGAAACATCGTAACTTCATGGTTCTACCATGAGATGCATCACGATATACGAGTGATGTAAACGATTTCAGCACAGAGGGACTAGATAATAAAATAGTAAGTCTCAGAATAACATGAAGAGATTGGTAGCTTATACATTAACTAGCATACGTCAATGTGTCGACAACACGTCTAATAATTTTCTTGTCACTTAAATAGACCTCGTGAAGAGAATTACCGGTGAACTTTCACAGTTCGTGTTGGACAAAGTCCCTGTTTGATTATCAATTTATGAGACTCACATCTCAAATTAGACGTCCAATATAGCTTCAGCCAATATCGATTACATATTTGTCAAGTGAGTCAGAATGATTGGTTTAATGAAGTTTAACATAGAGTCCTAGCCCCGGTTTGTTTAGACAAAACAGTTAACAGTAGAGAAGGATCCTTAAATTAGTACTCGGTAATTTTGAGGAAAGAGATGTAGTACTGAATAACGCACGCAAAATTCGAGACACAAATATTCGTATTCGACCAGACTGGCCACTTGAGGATCAGGTCAAGTGGAAGAATGCCCTAACAGAGTTAAAAACTCGAAGGCTAAACGGTGAAGCGAACCTTACGATTAAGGGTTTTCGGGTAGTCAGGTCTTGAAAGCCAATGCTGTCGAGACCTGTGTGGGTAGAACGTATGTCTCTAAAAACACTTTAAATGTGTGTTACACGAATGCTCGTAGTCTTCGGAATAACATGTCTGAACTAAGTTTGATGGTAAATGACTTAAATCCGGATATAATTGTTATCACCGAAACTTGGCTCACTGTAGATATAGACTGTTCTCCAGTCATTTCAGGCTACATCTGTATCAGAAGTGATAGAGTTAGAAGTCATCAATTATTCAATGTGAACTTGTACAATGTATCCTTAAGCCGACGCATATAGACTTGGAACATAATCCGTCATTGATAGACCTTGTCCTCACACACCACTGTGAAGATATCGTCGACATTCAACACCTTCCCCCACTGGTGAATAGTGACCATGTCGTACTTTCCTTTAAGTTCCGGATACATGGTATAGAATTTGCATCTGCTCCACCCCGTCCTAATATCTGGAGAGCTAATATTCCGGCAACCAGGGACTGTGCTATCTCGGTTGACTGGTCGGTCGATGCTGATGGTTCGATCGATGATGTATGGAATAGGTTTAAGTTTTCGTTCGAATCCGTAACCCAACCGTTTATTCCGTGGTCAGCACGTAAGTTATCATATTGCCCTCCATAGATTAACAAGGAAACCCGGAAGCTGTTGAAGCGTAGGAAACACTTCTGGGACTTATTCTTGTCAACACGTCAGGCATCATTTAAGTGCTAATATAAAAAATCCGGAATATATGTAAAAAGACCATAGCTAAATCCCACACGGCTTACGAACGACAGTTGGCATACGATAGCCGTACCTGTCCGAAGCGACTGTTTTCGTATGTTAAAAGGCGGACGAAACGTAGTGATGGTATCCCCTCATTACTGTTAAGCGAAAATTCAGCTTTATTGGCTGAATCTGATCTAGCGAAAGCGGAGACATTTGCAAACTATTTCAGTGAAGTCTACTCTACGGGTAGTGTTACAACTACTTGTCCCGTTGACAATGAGATACCAGCCATAGGACCTATACACGTGACAGAGTATATAGTTCTTCCTTTGATAAATAACCTCAAACCTTGTAAGATACCGGGCCCCGATGGGCTACACCCACGTTTGCTGTCATAGCTAGCGGACATTATCTCAAGACCGATCGCGCTATCGTGCGCTGTGGTCACTTCGCAGAGCTGCTTCGACGAGGATATGTTTCGAATTTTATATCCCACCTATGTAAGGCCACACTTAGAATACTGTATCCAAGCAGCTAGCCCATGTCTGAAAAAAATACTAAATCGCTTGAGCGTGTCCAACGTGTGGGGACAAAATTCGTAAAGCGTCTTTCTAAACTCCCTTACGATGAGCGTTTAAAACGTCTAAATCTTTTCCCCTTATCCTATCGTAGGACGCGAGGTGACCTTATACTGGCATTTCGTATCTTTAATTATGATTTGAGTGTTAATATGTCTTATCTTTTTGCTCCCTCCAGCACTAATAATCTCCGGGGTCATAGCAAGAAGGTTCTGAAACCGCGATCTAAAAACTAAAGGTGGGATCCCGTTTTACTCGTCGAGTGGTCAATGATTGGAACGCTTTGCCAGAACAAGTGGTATCAGCACAATCAGTGAACATTTTCAGGAAGAAGCTGGACCTTCACTGGGAGGAAATCTGTCAGGATTAACACAGGTTCATCAACCTACTATCCTTATTACTGAAGACTGAAGACTGATCCCAAGCAAGAAAATATTGAACGAATCAGATTAACTCAGAGTTTCTTCAAAAGTTGACTGATATAATAATTCTCTTGTTAAACTTGGCACTGAATATTTTCAAATTTATTTTTGCTGTTCCGGAGATGTCACGGTGGCCACAGACAGAGAGTGAGAGTAAATGACAAATCATCTGAATGGAACTGGTTAAAAGTTGTGTTCCTAAGGTATCATTTGATGTACCTAAATTTTTCTTCTCTACCTCAATGAAGCACCGAGAATGCCTAAGTCATCAACATTATTGTTTGCGGACGATGTCAAAATGAACACTTGAAACGCGTGAACCTCTGCCCATTGTCGTAGAGCACGCATCGAACCGGTATTAACATTCCGTATCTTTAATAGCGATTCTATTGGTAACATGTCTTGCCCTTTTGCTCCCTCTTGAAGTGATCATCCTCAAGGCCATAGGTTTCAAAACGCGATCTATTAAACACGTGGTGAGTTCCGTTTTGCTAATCAAGTGCCCAGAGACTGAAAAGTGCTACTCGGAAAAATGGTATCAGCCTCATTAGTCAACACTTTCAAGAAGAAGCTTAATCCTCATTAAAAAAGCTGTAAGAATAGGCATAAATCAACCTACTTCCTATCATTACCAGACTGAATTCCGACCTGATAAAAGCTTTCGTATTCCATCGGAACGAATTGATTATTTTAATTGCCCTCTAAATCAGCACCTTGTGATTCGCGCTGACCTAGATAAAGGAGTTAGTTACACCAGAAGTAGTATTCCTAGTAATTATCGAGACTTGCATACTTTAAAAATAAACTTTGTATCGTCCACTAACCCACAAACTCTTTTTCATAGTTTAGTACACTAATACTTTATTTCTGTGTGAACAAATATCTCATTCTCTTCCAGTACTTTGTAAATCGTTTTGAATAGAAATATTGGATGACGAAAAATTTTTTAGTCAACAGTGACTACACGAATTTCTCATAGTCACAATGGACACGTTATTGACGCGCAAGATTTCAAAGCATGGCATAACACACCTAACTTAGTGAGGCAAAATATAATGAAAAAAATTGGGGAGTGATGATAGCCAACTACTCACAGGACCTTGAAAGTAATATCTTCACTAGGCTAACCACAGATTTTTTACAGTTTCCGACTAATCGAAGTCACCAAGTCTTCGTAAATTACTAATAGTACGCAGGGGTCCAAACGTTGTAGAAGTTACACTGTTGCAGGATGATGATTTTAAGTACAACACTTATGCTATTATTTGATAAAATATCAACGGAATAAAATTAAATCAGATACTAGGATGAAGTTTGACTACGTATATTTCGTACACTCACTGCTCCGGACAGGCAATTAGGGGAACGAAGCGAAGGAAGTGAAGGGGAGAGCATGGAACGAAACGAAATGATGCGCAGGGGAGAAGGCAAGTGAACCAATTTCATTTACCCAAACGTTACTTAATATTTATGGACAGACTAAAGATAAGTTACTGACACCTAATGAATAGGGTAGCAACTAACACAAATTCAGTCATAAAATAGATAGTCAGAGTTAAAAATCCAATATGAGACAAAGTCACTATGTGACTTCAGCAGAATGGAATTACCTATGTGAGCTTGACACAGCAGCAGCCACTACGAGATCCCCGAGTGAAAAATGTCTATGTTAGACACCGAATCCCAGATTAAATGGCAAATCCACTTCAAAAGTTTTTAATGTTCATCAAAGGTGGTTGGATCACAAACGAAACTACTTATAATCACTCTATTCGACATCGGCAGACTTGGAGATAGGTTGAAAGTAAGCTTATTACTTATCTTAAACCTTTTATTGCGAATTATAGAAGAGAAGGGAACAAGAAAATCAAGCGAATGATACTTTGAATTCATTTCGTAGTTTTTCTATAGTAGGGAGTATAAAGTTACTCCAATATGTACAAATGGATATCGGAGTCCATTTGGACTTATAGAGATGCCATCCATTCATATTACAGAATACAAAACTTAGAAGAATACGTTCAGCAAATTACATTTAATTAAAAATTACTATGAGATAGTGGTTTTTATAATCATTCCGAAGAAATAAGATGTTCAACAATCTTTTCCATGACATAGAAATAGCCCAATATAAAGAAGTGAGTTTTCAGTCTCAACCTTTAGAGGTTGATCTTTAACTGCACTGTCAGATGGTGAAATTCTTAGCGCGCATTTAAACTTTTCAACCAGTTTACAATCATTGAAAAAGGTTAGCATTGTTTTTAGAATTTATTTCGCTGTAAACAGGGAGGAAAGCGTTTTTCATAATGTTTTATAAGTAAACTAATATTTAACTAATATTCAACTTTCAGAGTTTGTTCTTCTTCTTATTATCTAAACGAACGTTATCCTACCATGGAATCAAAAATGAAACCGTTAAAACCAAACTTTTATTTTATTTTTGAATACCACATGCGTTAAAACTATTTAATTATGAACCAATGAGATGGTTTATGCTGGTTTGTAATGTCAAGTGGACTATATACAGTTCAGTCATTTTTGTTCAAATTTGAAAAAAAATTGTGTATACCGTAGTCTGAACCATTTCAACGAAAAACTTAGGCGTGACAAACATGGTTGTCTTCACTCGAGTTCTACCATAAACTTTAATTCAAGCTTGATCAATACAAGGTTGATAATCTCCAGAATATATCGTTCATAAAAATATAATCTTTTCAAATTGACGTCATTTAGGGTAACAAAGTTGGACCCATTTTAGTTCGAGAATTGAAACCGTCAATTTACGTGGACTTATATTGCATTGAATCTATTTGAGTGTGAGACCAGAAGGATTAAATATATGCAAAGACACAGGCTTCAAATCTGTTACTCACTCCATTTTTTTCAGAACTAGAATATGTCTCAGCATCTTACTTATTTCTAGGCCTAAAATCATCATTCACAGGTAATGAATGCTATTTAAGTGGCTCTGAAACTAACCCGTTTCATGAACGTATGAGATTATGTCATTTTCAAATGAACCGATCCAATTTACTCACTACACGTTGATGTTAAGCTTTGTGGGATGAATTCTTCAATGAAAAGACATGATAAACTCTATGCCATTTCGTGAGTAATAAAACGATTGAAAGCCCGTCATCTTTTCTAATTATTGAATGACAAACTATAATGATCATGTAACTTTTTGGGTCAGTAGTAACGTTAATCAAAGTATTCATTGACATCGGTCAAAGTATCCATATCAGTGACTTATATTACAAGCCGCAAAACTAACTCATTCAGTGGCTCCCCAAATGTAAGTGTTAGTGACTAAAGAAATCCTCTAACTGATGTAAAGCTTCACCTTGTGTCTAAAGAACTATATCACTTTCTGCATAGAATAGGATTTCTATTGGACTACATAGAGAAAGGGATAATGGGCAGCGATGTACTATGTAACGCATCTTATAAAACAGAATAATTTTAGGCATTTTATATATTCGACCGTTGAAACATCACGCAAATGTGATAGAACCTCCGTGTCAGCAATACCTAGAATTAAATAAAAAATCACCAACCGCCCAAACGGACTTACATTCTTATAAAATCGAATGGTCTCAATATCTGGTTTTACGTTGAATTTAAAAAGTCACGAAGTTTGGAAAGCAGCCTTCTCCCGAATATACAACTGACAGCTCGGTTCTAGTGCTGAATAATGATATGTTTCATCTTTTCATGTCATACATACAAATCATCTACTAAGATGGGCTCTTTCACACAAATTGAAGCTAGTCACACCAGAAAGATTTCACAACATAGTAAAGATAGTGATTTTGCGATAGCCATAACACTCTTATACGAACTAGATACACAAGATAGAAGTAACAAAACTTGCGATTATTTGTTTATTATTTATTTATTTGAACACATAAATATTGGTACAAGGAAGCACCAGATAAAATATGCACCTCACAAATCTCATTCGATTTGTGTGAGGGCTGTGATACTGCCCAGGTGCCCAAACTGAAGCAGGTGGTTTTCTTAGGGGGCCACACCCGGAGCCTTTGACCTGAATGTCTGATCCACAAGGCAGTGGAGCATCGTGAGGAGATGCAGTCCCATGGTAGCCGGTGATCAACGGTTGATTCATACGCCATTTGTTCCCTCAGGATACTGGAGCCCATGTGCACCACTGGTTTGAAATCAGGGTTTTCCAACTCTCCTAGGTGGACTCTCCGTGTCCACCAACCCGGTTAAAGCGCCGGACATTCGCTTTTCGTCCTCTCACTTTCGTAAACAACACCCTTGTCACTAGAAGGCAGTGAGTAGGACTTCCCTGTCAGAGGCTATATATTCGCTGGCCATATGAGAGCATTTCGAGAGGGAGAGGTGACTCTCCCCACTCTCGACCGTACCAAGGCATTTGGGGGCGAATAGGTTTGGTTCATTTCGCGCTTCAATCTACGGAATACTAGATAAACTTATTGTTTCATATTGAACAACAATTCACAAGTTTCATATATTTAATTCTCTGCTGTAAAATTAGCTCTACCTCACTTATTCCCAATCGTGTATTACTTGCTAAACCACACACTTACTGTGGTCAAAAACATTTTTAACTGGTTAGTATTGAAATATTACCCAGAGTTCATCATTCCGTTTTATTTCTACATTTGCTAAGTAATTTGCAGACCAGTAGTATTTCCCAGTTGAGTTATACTAGCTATGATCCCACCAAAATAAAACCACATTTTAGTTTTCTGTGAATACATCTCCCTAATATAAGATGTTCATGTTTGATTTCAAAGTTGTGTTTTCTTATTAACCTGGTATAACAAACCTTTGATGATTGAAGACCCACATAGTTAGAAAATGATTGCTTTGGACTTTTTGCCCTAAAAGTACATTAGTTCAAATATTTCATCCATTAGTATCGTTGGCATGGTGGAACAATAAACTGAGTGCACAAACTAACTTTGATATACATCACAAAATTATGGCAACAGAAGTCCAACACGTACATAATTAAAATATAATATTGTAGCGGAGTGTTACTACATTCTCTAATTTGGCCGTTTTCTTGGTAGTTTCATCTTGATTTGCCGTGGTGTGGAAACCTTAACTGATCCACATACTTACCAGGTTCAATGTTGTGTAGGACTGACTGATTCATCCATCTAACTTCATAAGTTTGAGAAACCCTGTTGTACGTGCTATACTTACTTCCACGCTCTACAGATTAGTTTAATTTTCATATATTAAAATTATAGTTCATAGATCTCCTTTGACTTATCACGGGAAGCTTATACATGTACACAAATAAAGTACCCCTGTAATGTATGATTGTAATGGATATGTCAATATTTGATAATTATTTTTACTTTGGTTAGTGTTTCCCAACTTTTAGCATCGACAGGTGTCGAACATTAGGTATTTAAGTGTTTTTGAAAAGACAGAATAACAAAGACTAACAAAATATTATTATTCTACGATAATACGTCAACACAATAATGGGAGTAGTCACATCATATCAGAAAGAGGACTCACTATCCAGAATAGAGGACCAGAGTACAGACTAGCGTTAGCGCTTTTTAGCGAGTTAGTTTTCTACTGGATGCTGTCGCTAACCCCATATTTAACCATGCACCTTTCTCGGGCTTGGGACCTGCAGTAACTGTAGAAGAGCTACAAGCGTAGTTGGAGTACAGACTAGGTAATGCTTTATTCATTCCAATTACAAGCAGTCACTCATAGTAAGACCGGGTTAGAAATCGATGACAGGAAGGTAAATCATATATTTAATTGTCAGTAGGCTAAGTGCCTGTTTGTCTACACTCAGTACTTATTCATATTTCACTTTTACTACCATATATCAAAAACCATAGCGATATATGAGCAATTAAAAGAACTGAAATATGTTAGAGATGAATGACCGGTTTCAGAATCTCTCGTGATTTCATTTTTAAGATTTGTGAGTAAGTACACGTTTGTTCGTCCTACTTCTTTGAAGTTTCCGAGATACATTAGTGCGTAAAATAGAATTTCGATGATGAAAAATATAATTGATTGTAAAAATCATTGTGTGACAAGGATTACTAAATTGAGGATCACAATCGTTACTTTTTTAACAGTTTTCACACTCTCTGGTAGTGAATCGGTTGTTTATAATAAGATAACTCAGACCAGTTTTGAGACATATAGTTGTCAGAACGTTTTACGCATGAAATATCATTATATTACTGTAAAATCCTAAACACAACAATTCAGCTCTATGGTTTTATCAATCTGTCGTGCTTTGCATAATGAATTAACTTTCTGAAGTTTTTACTCATTTAAACGTTATGGAAATATCTTGAACAGAATTTTTACACACCTCTTTACTCTTTTCACATCTTTGAGTTGAACTATTTTAGATTTCACACTTATGAACCAAAGATTTATTTTAAGGAAAATTGAGTCATCAATGATATAACGTCTCCGATAACACTTAAGAGTCATCTGTGGATGTTTAACGTACATGTAACTTGCAATTTTTAACAATTTTCTGTTAGTGGTTTATCAAGTCACCTATCTATTCGCCATGATAAACAAACGATTGACAGTTTAGAAAAAAATATATATTCATTTTAACTACAAAGTATGATACTTAGTTTGTTAAACGTAAACACTAGTGTGAATTGACTTCAACTGCCACACATTACACTAGTACATTAAAAAGAAATCAAAGTAATCAAATACAGATATCTCCGTTACTGAAAACTAAAAAGACATTTACGTTGTGAATTCCAATGCAAAAACTGACAAAAAAGGTTCAAGCTTTATGCAGAGATGAGTACTTAATGCATGTGCACTAATGAGGCCAAGTTGGAGCCACAGCACAGAAAGGTTGCGATAATTTCATGAATCCCAACAAAGATGTTTATATATTGTATATACCTTCACCCAGCCGTTGATGGCTTTACAGACTGATGTATGCCATTTATACTGAAAGATACAAGTATAATGTAACACCAGTCGGAAGTGGAATGTCTGCCAGGCGGAAATCGAATTAAAGAGAACAGGAAGGGTAACAGAGAGGAATTGTAGTGACAACAAAATTGGAAGAATCGTGAAGCATGCAAAGGACAACTGAAGGAAGATGTGCAAATAAAGTATTTAATATATGGTTTTCATATGTTACCAAGACACTATGTAGTTTTTCACGAATTAATAAGTTAGTTTTCCGCACTGGAGTTTCCGTTCGCTGCAGTAGGTATTATGTTCGTCCCGCGGACTCCACATCTAGATGATAGCTAGTTATATTACTAAACATATTTTGGAACCAATTCATATATTTAGCTAACATATACACTCAGCAAAAACATGCACATTGAAAGATTAATGTGACTTAATATATGTATTTTGAAGAAACTGTCAAGTATTTCGTAGTAAGCCATATACTCAATTTAATCATTCTTCTGTAGATACATGGTTCTAAAAAATGTAACTTCAATAACTCGATTATACTTAAAACAATGTTTTGTTATTTTCATTTTCGCTAAGATGAGAATTTGAAAACAATATTTTTTATTTCAGTCAAGTTTTTATAAGAGATAAAAGTTATTAACCAATAAAAGAGCAAAACATTAACAAAATATCTACTGCGAAAAGCTTTTTAGTTAGACTGCCAGTTAAATATCAACTTGATGTTGATTTTATTAACACAATTTTGATTTCAGTGGTGTGACAATACAGAAATAAAATAATAAACATTATGCTTGTTGTTTTGTTAAGAAAATCATGAACTAACTTTTGTTTTGTGATTGTCTCTAATAATGTAGACTGGTGAATAAATTTTTAAAGTGATGTATACTAAGTACATCTCACTGACTATTGGTCGATTGTTTGTATTCAAAAGCAATGTAATTCAGTGCCGAATTCAAATTTTGAAACTACGTACCATGAATTCTATCAAGGAATAACTCATGATTACAATGTAACAAGCAGTAAGGTAGATATGGACAAATTGGTTTTTGTGGCGATAATCGTGTTATTGACTCTAAGATATTTCTTAATAACTGGACACCTGATCTCTTACGGTTATCAATTCCGAATGTCTGAGTAGTAATATTTCCCCATTAATTTTGATTAGCTAAAATCAATTTAATCGCTAGAAAATTACCATCATATTAAATTGCAGGAAACTGCATTTTAAATTCAAGTTCTTGGCTTCGTAGATATCTGAAAATACTCTTAAGATTCCATTACGCACATATTTTTATGCCATATTTTAACTAAAAATATTGTCAACTACTAATGATTTCGGTTGATTTACTTATTACAATTACATTCGATCACCACAAATGTAACCTCACATTTACTGTCACCTGGTCATTGTTAGATATTCAAGTATCCATAATTTACATTTTATGGAGTATTACTAACTACATTAGACAACGTACTTTGACTTACCCGAGAAAAATCCGACCCATTCCTTGGCGTGGTACTTGAGAAATAAGGAAACTGTGTCCTTTAAATAAATATGAGCGGTCGATGGAGATTAGCTTTATCTACTAATCTAACGTAGTTTTGGAGTAACTGTTTTTCCACTCGTTCCAAATACACGAACCCAACTATGTTTATCTGTATACTATAAGATAGATGGGTTGGTTAAATCTGTATATTTCATGTATGTGAGCAATATGTGCTTGTGTAGTACTTGCCTCTTATGTGGACAGATATAAGTAGTATGTAGCAGGAATAGGAAGTGGAATGCTAACCGGTAAAAGATTGAAATAAAGAGAAGAAGGAAAACAAAGAGCAGTCTGAGTAACAACAGGATTTGAAGAATGATAGGGTATGTAAAAGACAACTCAAGAAAGATTTACAGATTATGTATTTGATGTACAATTTTTATAATTTACAAAAGGTACAAACAGAACAGCATATATAAAAATATGAGAGGGGAAAACATATTATCTTTCCAATTACTAACATGTGCGCCTACATGTATGTCACAAATTACATTGGTCCTGGAAGTGTGTATTTCAGATGAACATGTAATGTGCATTATATAGTGTGAAGAGCTGGGAGTTTATTTCACCTCTCATTAAGGGTAAATTTAAAATAAGGGAGTGGAGACCATCTTACTTTCCTAATCATGACATTTATATTCGTGTGTATAGGAATCAATGCATAAGTTTATTCGACTTGTGTATTTGGGTTTGTCTGAAAGATCTGCTTGCCAAAACAGAAACCTAGGTGATATCTTACCTACTCAACAGTAGCAAATCATGACAGCTTATCCCTCGGGTTTCATCAATATACAGTTTTTAACTAAAACTATTTATTCTATCATAGATATGCGCGTATCATCATTAACTAAAATCTTATTCAGAAGAACCAATCGACTATTCCAGGAGGTTTTATCCACATTCATAGCTGAACCGAATATCTTGGGATATCTTGGCTTCCAAATTTAGTTATCATTTAGTGATAGCTTTTTTTATTAAAACTATAGCGATATTCAAGTATCTTGACCATAGTTATCATCTGAAAACAAACAATAAATTCCTGATATGTACGGTTTCTTCAAAGAACATTAATATGAACTGTGAATTCTGTTATCATAATAGTATAGTATTTTATATTTAGAACTGATTTCAGAGTGTATTTATAGGAAGAAATAAAAACAATACGTTTTCAACAAATATATACTCATCTGACTTGTAACTAGCAGGTAATATATCAAAGATTAAACAATTTTCAGCACAGTCAAACTTAATCTCCAAGTAATATTTTTAAAATGCCTAGCAATTATGAAGTGCTTTAATGCATACTGGGAAATGTAGTTGCACTAATGATCTATTTTAGTTTAACCCAGTGATGAGTTAATATTTAGCAGTTCCAACTCGAAACGACTATTTACTTACTCATTTTTATTGGACATTCATTTTGTTTCATCTGGTTTTTTGAGATAAACTTGAACTGAGGTAAAGATTTTGGCAAATTTATAATAGATAAAGGCAGAAAATATTTATTCACTCAAGCTTATCCAATACGTTAGTTAAGTTTGCACTACATTATAAAAGTTAATCACTTATTACCTTTTTTTTCTATCTTCAGATTTATTTTTTGGGCGATTATTTTATTTTCCTAACATTAAAAAAGTTCACTATTCATATTGTCAGACAACTGAATTGCACCTGTCACGTTATTCTGTATACAAGGTGATTGTCAGGTAATTGTGAACTCAGTTCATAATTTAATATTCATAGCAAAAGTTTACATTTATTCATTAATTTGAAGAACTCTTGGTTCACGAATGAGTAAGTTCTAGTGTATATATATTTAAGTGGATTAAATAAATTGTGTAATATTCGACTTTTTGTCCGATGATTTGAAAATTGTTTTGCAATCATCTATATCAAATTTCGTAAATATAACAAAACCTAACTTACCAGAATAGTATTTAGTTTAAAATTACTTATAGTCACACCGTTTTGAAAATCAACAGAATAATTTTTAGTAACCTTGTTTACTTACAAATCAGTTATATTGTAATTCACATGGACTTTTTTTCTTATGGACAATTTATCAATCAATTAGATGATGTGTACTCTGTATACCAGATATTATGAATTATCATAGTAAAGGCTTATTTTGTGATGTGTTTTTGGATATCTCGTAATAACGGTCAATCGATCACTTCACAACGTATTTTTGTAAGTCAATATAATTTGACTGAAGATGATTGATAAACCCTATGAAAGGGCTTATATTCTTACTACTATCTCTCAACAAAAACTCTTTAGAGTACGATAAAAAAATGATGTCTTCCAGTTAATAATGAAGTATTCACAAAAATTGTGTATTATCACTCTAAAAGCACTGCTTATAAATTTTCTTTTTGAATATGTAATATTGAAAATGATAAAAGAATTTAGTAACCGATGAACTGATAATCTACCCTAAGAAAGATACCATAAATAAGTGCACAGTCTTTTGCTTCCCACGTAAGCATTTCCCAGAAATGCATGGAGTGAGTTGTTCTTGGTTCATAAAAACAAAACTAAAAATATAACTAACTAAACTAATTCTGTCTTTGGGAAAATCAGGCCTATGCCTAAATGACTAAAACGTTTGACATTTTTTTGATAACATTCAGTTTCAAAATGCCTATTGTAGTTAATGAGAACACAGGTGATGACAACCGATTATGCATTTAGTACTAATTACAAAGCTGCTTGATAAAATAGAAAAATCATACTCTAATACTTCATTTGGAAAATGTTCATTAATTGTTTCAGGCTTTATGGTTCCTGGACTTCCACACCAACAGCTTTCTGTTGATATCCTTTCTTCCTCGACCTTCTCAACCTTCTGCTGTCAGATATTCCATTCCTGATTCACGATATATATTGCTTATGTCTATATAAATAGCCCACACCATACTATCATCTAATAAGATTTATTCAGATTTGAGTAATATTACTATTAATCATCAACCTGCAAAAATGGTGAGTTGAAGATGTGCACACAAAACTGTAATTAGCAAATAAGTTACTGTGTATAAAATGCTTACTTAGTCTAAAATTTCTTCAAATTTATGAAACAAATAATAATACCGTCTTTGAATGACACTTTATTTAATGTTAGTTACTGAAAATTAACATAAATCTAATTATAGCACTATAAAAAGCACTTTTTGGATTTTATCCTTCAAAAAAATGACAATGTTAACTAACGAAAACAGTTACTATAATCCATTTCAAGGATGAACTCTATTAGTCTCAGTGAATGGAAATTTTACTAATTAACCATTATGTCTATAATTAATTAAATGAGTTCTATGTCACTTAAATCGATTTTTGCATGAATTATAGAGAAGGAATAATTATCTTACCAGTAAATAGATAGCTTTCTATCTCTATACTCAGTGAAATTGAATTAAATTTTGCATCAAAGAATTAGTTTTTGTAAAACTACATTCTAATGTAAACATCACCTACTGTGATTGTTATTGTTTTCGTCAATTTTGTTTTCTTTAACATAATCTAGTAAATTGTTGATGTTTCAGGTTGTCGATGTAGTTTATTTTAATTAATTACTTTCTCAATGTTGTCAACTTTGATCTTTACAAAATACATGTGTTGCTAAGGATAATTTATGTATTTTTTATTCAAACGAAAGTTCTGTTTCAATTCCGCTGTAATAACCAACAGGATATTTCCGAAAGTAGATGACTCAAAACTATCAGACAGACGAAAACCATCATTGGTAATTTCAGTTAAATATGTTAGCTTATCGTTGGGATCTGTTTTCGAACAATTACATAAATCTTTCGTTACTTCACTTTTCGAACGAATTAAAGTTAATTATTTTTATCCCTTAATAGAAAATGGGAATTAACCAACTTAACAGAAATAGAATTACGAAATACTTTTACACTTTATTTAGAATCTTAGACGTGCAAACAGGATAAGATTTCGTTTCATTACTGTGGATACATATACTCGTTCAAGTGTAAGACCATATTAAACCAGCTATTAGTCAAAGTAAATCTTTAAAAAATAATAACGAAAAAGATTTGTTTTCATTTACAAGTTCATTATAACTGATTATTCGGTTATTGTTTTATTGATTAACTAATCGTTAAAACTACAATATTATAGTGTAGGATATTTTACTTATATATAACCTGACCTAGAAATAGAACGGAATAGATGCGGTAAGGATAAGCTATATATCCAATAATGCAATTCGTTCAGTTTTAATGGAGATCATAAACCGGTCAATTTAAGAACCCCTCTAAAAACCTGGAGACACAAGATTGCCGTTTCGTCCTAGTATGGGACTCTCCAGTAATGCGCACCCATGAAGCTGGCTCAGTGGTCTAGAGGTCGAAAGTTCGAGCGCGAGACCGAAAGTTCTGCGTCCGAGTCACATGTCCGGGGTCGTAGATGTGAAACACTGAGGAGTCCTATACTGAGACGAATCGACTTCCCAGTGCTCCCACGTCTTCAATGGAGGTCTGATGTTGATTTTTTCATGATTTCAACTAAAAGTTCAAAACGTCTTGGGATTTAATTTGCAAATCAGAGTACTGAGGTCACGAATTGTGATTTCTTCATTTTGGGGACAATGTAAACGTTTTGTACTGAACTTGATTACTTCATGTGTTCAAGTATACTTTACCTGCTAATATTTTGTAAGAAAAGTGCTTGTTCTCTTCCAAATAGTCAATTTTTTTCTCACTAAGATGGGATTGGAAATATAAATAAGGACTAGTAAAATGTATGCAACTCTTTTGTTGTCCATAGCAAATTTAGTTTTTGATTGGTGACTAATTCCGTGTTATCATGACTCAGAAGACAGCTCTTCTCGTGAATAATCTTCAAAATTCTCCCTTAATTTAATCTCTCACAATATGGAGACACTCGTTTTACTGCAAAAGATTACGTATGATCAAATTATAGGCCAACAACCAGTGTTCAGCCTCTCGAATCATTACTGTATGACGTTACATAACAGATCAGTTCTCGTATGATAAAGTATGCATAATACTTTAAAAGTTGTGAATGTGATTATGAAAACCAATTTGAATACACATAAGCTATTTTTGTAAATTAACTGAGTTTATGTTTGTTCGCAGAAAAGTGAAAACAGTTTTATTTCCGTTTGATTTCTGTTATGATATGGAACGGTAAGCGAATTTACCGGAAAAAATATACATGTGTCGATGTATTCTGATAAAACATAATTCTTTATTTTCAAATAAGAATAATTAAGTAGTGAAACTCGGTTATGAGATACAATTTTGTGTATTCAACCTTGAACAACATGTTATTTTTGAGGATTAATGGTATGATTGACTACTCAAACTAAAGTAGACAAAGCTTGAATATCGAGTGTTTTTCATTGATCAACACTAACTGATTTTTTTAATATTTTCTGACGTACTTTTGTGGTTTGTGCTACTGATGTCGACAGATTTAAGTAGTATGTGTCAGTAATCAAAAGTAGAATGCCAGGCGGCAGAAAGTTAAACAAATCGAAGAGAAAAGAACAAAAACAGAGATTGATTGTTGTAGAAACGACAAAACAACAACAAAGTCCGAGACAATCAATGGATATTCTACAATTGAAGTATTACTGTATAGTTCTCAGATTTTAACGAGATATTCTGTAATGTACTAAAATACGCTTGGTTGTCCCCACTGGTGTTCTCGTTCACTACACTTTGTGAAAAAGTCTACATTAGCTTAATCTTATGTTAATGTAATCTCTGGTCATCACGCAATTTAATCCTCCTATGTATGTGAAAAAAATAATTCGTTCTTACTTGGAATCTACTCCGGCCATTTATAACAGATTTTGGTGCCAGATGGTAACTTCCTAAACTTTCTATATTAAGCTATTTGTTTCTCTCTCTCTAATATTTTCGCTTGTCGTTTTGTCAGATTTGTTGACCTTTAATTTATTTGATCGTCTTTAATTTTTTTTACCTTAAAAAATAAATATGTAATCAAATTTTTCAACATGTTTATTACGCTAATATATCACATATGATTCAGATCAACTACGTCTTAGACTTATAACACTTTTGAAATTTAGAAAATGACTTAATATTTTTAAAGTATAATTATGTACTTTTAAAACCAAGTTGAATTAACTGATTGCATAATATAAAAAAAAAACAAAAAACTCAAATTATAATTTCTCCCGGAAACATTATAAAAGTTCATAAAGACAATATAAATTATCCTTGAAATAAATTGATTACATTACCCCCCTTTTGTATGTGAATTATTGTTTTTTAAATTAAACTGTTAACTAGTCGATACATTTACAATAAAATTTAATATTACTATTATTATTACTATTACAGACAAGCGAATATAAATCCTTCATTCATACATACAAGTGTACTCATTATAGTGAACTAATTTTAAAACATGGTCACCTGTTTAAAAACAAAAAAAAAGAAAAGAAAAGGAAACAAAAATCATTTACAGATATAAACCAATAAATGAAAATTTAAGAACTCACATTTATATTTCATTGAATTATTCATGTGAATTGATCACCTCGAATTATACTTATTCAAGCATATATCTGTTTATTATTTACTAAACAATTTGAAGTAATTTGCAAATTACAAGTCATTTTTTTTGTTTATATAATTATAAAATTATAAAAAGGGGGTTTTGTGTTTCCAGATTTTCTATGATGGTCTAACTTCAATTGACTCATGATTTCAACTATATAATAATAAAATCAAAATCATCACAATGATTACTATTGTTAAATTCATCCATCGCACAAG